TTATTTATTGTGTTTCCATTTTCATTTTTCTCAAGATATTTGTTGATTTTTCTTTTAATTTCTTCTTTGACCCATTGGTTATTCAGGAGCGTGTTGTTTAATTCCCACATATTTGTCAATTTTCCAGCTCTCCTTCTGTTACTGATTTCTAGTTTCATACTATTGTGGTTGGAAAAGATACTTGATGGGATTTCTGTCTTAAATTTGTTAAAAGTTGTGGTCTAACATATGATCTGTCCTGGAGAATGTTGTACACTTGAGAAGAATATGTATTCTGCTTCTGTTGGATGGAATGTTCTATATGTATCTAAGTCCATTTGGTCTAAAGTGTAGTTCAATTTTTCTTTATTGATTTTTCTGTCTGGATGATGTATCCACTGTTGAAAGTGATGTATTGAAGTCCCCTACTGTTATTGTGTTGCTGTCTATTTCTCCCTTCAGTTCTGTTAATACTTTGTTTATATATGTAGGTGCTCCAGTGTTGGGTGTATAAATATTTACAATGGTTTTATCCTCTTGATAAATCAACCCCTTTATCATTATATAATGATCTTCCTTGTGCCTTGTGATGGTTTCTGACTTAAAATCTATTTTGTCTGATATACAAAGTGTAGGTACCCCCCACTCTCTTTTGGTTTCCATTTGCATGGAATATCTTTTTGCATCCCCTCACTTTCAGTCTCTGTGTAAATTGATTTTTACAATTTTTTTTTAAACAATAAAAGAAGGAGTTTTTATAATGGTATAGAATGCACTATGATGTGGGAATTTCTCAACACCACTAGTATTTCTTAAGCATTTTGTGACCATAAGTGGATAAGAATTCAAGAAATATCAAAGAATTTTAACATTTTTCGTGGACATATAAGGTTAATTTTAGATACTTAAGGTTTGTTTAAGGAATGTTTTTTAAAAAGAACTGTGAGGGCCGAGCCCGTGGCGCACTTGGGAGAGTGCAGCGCTGGGAGCGCAGTAGCACTTCCGCCGCGGGTTCGGATCCTATATAGGGATGACCGATGCGCTCACTGGCTGAGCGCGGTGTGGCCGGTCTCAAAAAGGACAAAAAAAAAAAAAAAGAACTGTGAACTTGTCTGTATTGCTATCTGTAAATGATTCTGTGTATCATTGCAGGCCTTCCGTGTCCTGTCTGAACCAACTGGCCCAGAATCCCCAAGCTCTAAGGAATGTAATAGGGCTTGGCAATGTTCAAATGTACCGGAATCTGCAGTCTGTGGGATAAGTAGAATCTGGGTTTTCAGATTGAAGAGAAGAAAGCGCATTGCAAGACGACTGGTAGATACTCTCAGGTAAGAAATAAAATTAAATGGATCTAGACCCAGAATCTTAGTTTCTTAGCTTTTCCAAAGCCTCTCTGCTCCTGAGCCAGGAGGATACTAGAAGACACTTCTTTATAAATACTATCCAGTTCAGACCAAGGGAAGCATTGGCACTGGCAATAAAATGCTACCTATACTCAGTCTAGGGCTTAACATTCTAAATCCGAAACATTCTAGCCCAGCACTTTGCAAACTACCTGTTGTAAAGGACTAGTTTAATTTGGCACAGAACAACACTTCAATAAATTTTTTTTTAAATGGACTGCTAGAAAAATGGAATGGAAAAATGAAACAAAAATAGAAAATAGACACCCAAAATTTTATTAGATTCAACAGATGTAAAATTGCATTTCAGTAAATATAATCTATACAAACAAAACATAGGTTTAAAGAAAGAATTACAGAAATTGTACATGTTCATTGACAGTGTGTAACTAGGTAATTAATAAAAGCTTGGCTGTAACTCTTAAATATAACTAAACATAATAGTGAATTAGCAAGACAACCCACAGATGGGAGAAAATATTTGCAAATTGTTTATCTAATAAGGGTCTAATATCCAGCATATATGAAAGAATGCTTACAACAGTAAAATGACAACCAGTTTAAAAATGGGCAAAGGGTTTCAGTAGACATTTCTCCAAAGAAGCAATACAAATGGTAAATAAGCACATAAAAAGATGCTTAACATCTTTAGCTATCAGGGAAATCCTGAACCAGCACCACAGTGAGATGCCACTTCACACCCACTAGGATGACTGTATTCAAAAAAAGGGAAAATCACATGTGCTGGTGAGGATGTGGAGGAAACTGGAACCCTCGTACACTGCTAGTGGGAATGTACAGTAGTGCAGCTGCTGTGGAGTCGAGTGGCAGTTTCTCAAAAAGTTAAACTGATCATGTGGCCCAGCAATTCTGCTCTTAGCTATATACACAAGAGAAATGAAAGCACATTTCCACACAAAAACTTGTATATGAAGGTTCATAGCAGCATTATTCATAATAGCCAAAAAAGGGTAAACAATCCAATCTGGGATGAATGGCTAAATAAAATTTGGTATATCCAAACATTAATAACAATGGGATATTTTTTTTTTTTTTTTGTCTTTTTCCGTGTCCGGCAACGGATCGCAACCCTCAGTGTCGCCCCCGTACCGGACCGGGACCGGCAACGGGATCGCAACCCTCGGTGTTGCCCCCACGCCTCGCTCAGCCAGTGAGCGGGAACCGGTCTGTATGTGGGATCCGAACCCTCAGCGGGAGCGCCTCCGCACTTCCCAAGCAGCGCACTAGCGCAGTGCGCCACTGGGCCGGCCCCAATAACAATGGGATATTATTCACCATAAAAATTATGAAGTAATGGCCAGCCCGTGGCTCACTCAGGAGAGTGCGGTGCTGATAACACCAAGGCCCTGGGTTCGGATCCCACATAGGGATGGCCGGTTCGCTCACTGGCTGAGCGTGGTGCTGACAACACCAAGTCAAGGGTTAAGATCCCCTTACCGGTCATCTTTATGAAAAAAAAAAAAATGTTACATATAGGTTTATTATATAATTTTTAAAGCAAGTATCAAGACAAAATCTGATACACAATTTGATCTTAAAGAGAATGTCTGGAACCAAGATAGTCCTGGAAAGTGTGGGTTATATGGTGGCTGTGGGTATGAGAGAAAGGCAAGCACAGAGTTGGGGGAAAGAGGGCTGGAGAGGGATGTAAAGGACAGAGCAAGGAGTCTCTTGGTGGCTAGGCACAAGCAAGCCATTAGATAGTTCTGATCAAGAGTGTAATCTGTTTAAACTTCTGTCTACTGAGATGGTAAATCAAGTACAAAACTTTCATTAATTGTCAACGTGTGTATAGGACTCACACCTTGAAAGGAGACCATGAACTTCTGTTGACACTCAGATCTAATGACACTATAGAAAAAGAGTCATAACACTCACCTTAATCACAGTAGCCTACCAGCTACCTCTCCTGCTTAGGAACAATGAACAATGAATCATGGGGCCACATAAAGACAGTGAGATTTTCAAAGAGCATTCTGGAATTGGTTGGCTATGGATAGATGATAGGAGTTGTGGGTAGAAGAAGAATTTCAGTTATCTGAGGCACTGAGAAGACATGTCTGCTACTTAGAGTGACTTATAAGAATTTTTATTGAATCAAAATTGGTTATATGTATTTTGAGGGTTCAACATTGAGATATGTTGATCAAATCAATATTACTATCATATATATTGTTACAAATTGTAATTATTCTTTATGCCCCTTGTCCAATCTCTCCTCATCCCCCTATCCCTCCCCCTCCCCCCTCTAATCACCCTAGATTTCTTCTCTCCCTCTGAAAGAATACGGTTATTCTGTTGATTTGCTGCCCAAATGATCTGTCCAATGCTGAGAGGCGTGATCACTATGAAATGGACTCTGTGGAGAGAGACATCCTCCTCCTTTCTTTATCTCTGCTGGTGACTCTCCTTGTGTCATTGCACTCCAGTGGCTGGCAGACCATCTGCGTGGCAGTTGTGGCATCTAGCCGCCTTCATGGCAGCCATGGTTTTCATGGTGGCTGTGGTGGGCCACCCACATGGAGGAGATGTTTTTGGAATGCTTCTTGGTGCTGGCAGTGTGCCTGGTTGTGGAGAGTGTCCGATCCCCAGCTACACCGGCACTGGATGCCTGGTTGTGGGAGGGGGGGTCCTGTCCCCTTCTCCATGCCTTGGGTCCCCAGGTGGGCCCCAAGGCGCTGGCATGGGGTGCCTGGTTATGGGAGGGAGGTCCGGTCCCCTTCTCCATGCCTTGGGTCCCCAGGTGGGCCCTGAGGTACTGGCACAGTGTGCTTGGTTGTGGGAAGGGGTCCGGTCCCTGGCTGCTAGCCCCAGGTCCCTGGGCAGGCCCCAAGACTTTGGTGTTGTGCCTGGATGTGGGAGTGGCGTCCGGTCCCTGGCTCCAATTCTCAGGTTCCTGGGTGGGGCCCCAAGGTGCTGGCGGTGTGAGTGGTTGTGGGCAAGGATCCTGCCCCTGACTCCATGCCTCATGTCCCCTGGTGGGCCCTGAGGCGCTCGTGGTATGCCTGGGCCGGAACTAATTTTTTGTCCTTTGCTTACTTCTAACATGGGGGAACTTGCTGTGGGAACCAGTACTTGAGCTGTGTGGTTGAGCTAAATTGCTGATTTACTGGCCGAGCCCGTGGCACACTCGGCAGAGTGTGGCGCTGGGAGCGCAGCGACGCTCCCGCCGCGTGTTCAGATCCTATATAGGGATGACCTGTGCACTCACAGCACTCACTGGCTGAGCGTGGTGCGGCCGGTCTCAAAAAGGACAAAAAATAAATAAATAAATTGTTACACACATAAACTTTAAAAAAAATAAAAATAAAAATAAATAAATTGCTGCTTTACTGCTGTTTCCCTAGGGAAGGCGTTTTGTGCAGCTCAGGGTTTAATGCTTGACTTTATAGGTACTTCCAGCTCTCCATATACTCGGTGCACCAGGATTGTGTAGAAACTCTGATCTGGGCCTGAGTTTTTTCATCAAACTGCACCCCATGCAATTCTGCATTCCTGACCAGTCTCCTCTGAGTGTTCCTGCGCTGACTGGAGAGTGGATCGGCTGTCCTTGCTGTGTCCCATTGTTCTCCCGGTGGGCCCATCTCCTCCACTGCCCGTGCTCCAAACACTTCCCTTGGGACAGGCCCTGTGCCAGTCCCTTGCGTTGATTCACCGGCTTCTGAATGGCTCCCCTTTTGCAGCTGTTCTGGCTCCTTGCTCCTGCGTGGGTCCACGGGAACCCTATTAGTGGTGTTGCTGTCCTGGGGGTCACCAAAGTCCTCTTCTCCCCTTCTGCCTCCAAGTAACTCCATCTAAGTGGAACAGCTGCCGCTTCTGCAGGCTCCTGCTCCTTGCGCTCCAGCATTAAAGCAGCTGCGGCACAAAACACTGAAAGCAGTTTTTTCTTTCTCTCATCGTGGTTTCTCCCACCTTCATGAACTCCATAGGTCTCTCCTCCTCTTCACCTGAGCTCCAGCGGCCCCAGCTTGGCTGATAGTACATTTTTATTGTTGTAAACTCATTGATTTGTGGGAGAGAGTGACGCTGGGGACCATCTATTCCTCTATCTTGACCTTTGCCTGTCAGCAGAATTTTTTCTGGACCTTCCTTAGTTTTCTTATCTGAAATGATATTATTAGAATTTCGTTTCTAAAATCTAAACATTTTATCACTTATTGGAATTAATATTGATTTTTTTAAATTGTGCTCATGTTTAATCAGAATTTTAAGTTGGTTCCATTGCTAAATCATCTTTTCCTCTTTTTCAGAAATTGCTTCATGTTTGGCTGTTTTCTCAGCACTGATGATATAGCATTTTCTGACCCAACACCAGATGGCAAGTTATTTGCAACCAAGTACTGCAACACCCCTAATTTCCTTGTATACAATTTTAATAGTTAAACCTGATTTCAATCATAAAACAGTTACTATGTGGATAACTTCAGACAGCTCTTTATTAGACAATACAAACTATTTAATAAATATCAAAATAAAAAATACTGATTCTCACACACACACCCACCACAGTTTTGTTCCTTATGAGTTGAAAAGTGAGGGATAAATATGTTGAAAATTATCTGGGGATTCAATAAAAGGAGAAATCTTTGGATAATGTACTGATTAGTACTCCAAATCTTATGAAACTTTGTAGCTATAAGTGGAAAATTACTTGCCTCCTACATAAGAACATTGACAAAACAAGGTGGTTTTCTACAGAATGTGACCACTTCTTTTTTATAATGCACAATTTGACTAGGATAATCTCATGCCTCTTCAGAAACAAAGAGGCAAATTTAAACCCAGGCACGTAATTTTCATGCCTAGTTTTTCAAAAGTAATTCCTGAATTCTGTATCCAAAGTTCTCACTTCATAGGTACTGTCTGTAGCATCGCAGTTTGAATATATTTAGGAAGTGTTTTGAATTTCTAATTTGTAACAAGAAAAGATGGTAAAGAATGAGTAAGATATCTCACATGCATTTATGTAGAGCAGAATTCTATAGCTTACTGTTTTAATCTTTTGAAAATCAAATTAAGCAAATGCACACCCGTCATCATAGGATCTCATTAAAATTATACTTAGTAATCACACTATTGTCATTTCATTGATTTTTGCTGTGTGAAAATACTGGTAGGTGCTGCTTTAAGGAACTCGTTACTTGTGATTGATGTCATTAACAACATGGATGCCTATTGGATTAGATAATTCATTTTGTTTCATTTTTTGATTTTTTGCTTGTTTTAAATACACCTTACTTGTCCCAAAACATCTGGCAAAAGTCTTTACGAAATATATAACAGAAGCAAGGTTAATAAATATATCTAGGCTGGTAGACCAGAAAACATGATGACATTATGTAAATATACCTAAAAGGCCACACATTTTTCTAGCATAATTCTTGGCTACTTTGAAAAGCAAAATATTATTCATATTGTTTTGATTCTGCTCTCTGGCAATAAGATTCTAGGGAAATAGTTTTCCAGGTTGTAGCTCTATATAGAATCCATTCACCTGCATTCTTTTTATTTGCCTGAAAGTTAACATGGTTTCAGAATTTAAAAGCCTGAATTCTAAAAAGAATGTGGAAGTGTTGAAATGTAATTATGCAAATATTTTAATGCTATTTTCTGCACTTGTTTTTTTAAATTCTTTTAAATATTTTATTTAAAAAGTTTTATTAACATTATTTGTTCAGTGCTTTTGTGATGAATCTATTAAAAATCTTTTAAATATTGATAGTCTGTTCTCTGTACAACTGAATGCTCTAATTTTCTTTTTTATCGTTATAAATATAGTATATGCTCTTTGTAAAAAAAACATTCAGATAATACAGAAATAGAGATTGCCAAAAGAAGCAGCTTTCCTATAATTATACTTTGGGTTTAATGCATATTATTTCAGGTTAAATACATATGAAATTATTTTGCAACTTGCTTCACTTCAGTATGTCTTAGACATATTTCAAGTATCTCTTTCTATTTTAGATGTATGCCATGATTTGCTGTTGGGTTTTTTTTCTTTCTTTTTTTTTTTTTTATCGAAGTATAACATGTACAAGAAGCAAATGGACTGGGAGGGCCTCAAAGCAACGACACCCCAACAGCAGTGAGCAAACCTAGCACCCAGAACGTGGTTTAATACCTTTCTCCAAAAAAGGAACTGGGGCTCCTTGGAAAAATGCTCATTCTAGGACTGG